TTTTTCTTTTCTTTTCGGTGTACTGACCTTTTATTTTGGGGCGTGTATGTGTGTGTGTGTGTATGTGTGTGTTGGTGTACTGACCTTTTATTTTGGGGCATGTATGTGTGTGTGTGTGTGTGTGGCTCCAGACTGTAGGACCCGAAGTGATGGATGAAAGTTAGAAAAGAAGTCCCAAGGAAATATGAAGATTGTCTTGACATTTAAAAGCTGTTACATAATGAAATTAACTCCCTTTCAATGGAGATTTTGAAAGAGAGTCTCTAAATGGTTACTTGACAGGGATGCTTCAACTGGGATTCGCTAGAGACTGCCCAGAGTGGCTTTTGGCTACATGGGTGGTATATAAATCAAATCAAATAAAATCAAATCAAATCAAATAATAAATCAAATAATATTTCAAATAATAAATAAATAAATAAATAAATAAATAAATAAATAAATAAATAAATAAATAAATAAATAAATAAATAAATAAATAAATAATAGGAGCCCTTTTATTTACCCTTGGAGTCCCTTACAATACCGCAAATTTATGATTCATTCAAAGAAGTACAAACAATGACTGCTTTTGTTCTAAAATTATTATTATTTTGTCTGTTGTAGACCTCTCACTTACACATTTACATGAGCAATGCTGAGCTTTTGCACCTACTTTCTCCTTATTTGCCCTTCCCATGTCGCTCATGGTAACTGCCGTGACACCCTTGGAGTCCCTTACAATACCGCAAATTTATGATTCATTCAAAGAAGTACAAACAATGACTGCTTTTGTTCTAAAATTATTATTATTTTGTCTGTTGTAGACCTCTCACTTACACATTTACATGAGCAATGCTGAGCTTTTGCACCTACTTTCTCCTTATTTGCCCTTCCCATGTCGCTCATGGTAACTGCCGTGACCAACTTATTTGTACACGAAATGTCTTTGCGCTTCTGCTTTCCTATTTGTAAGGGTTTTTAGGGAAGCCAGTCTCATCGCTCTATAGTGTTTGGTAGATTTGAGCTAGGGATGAATTTGGCTCTGAAATATTTGTCACGCCCCCTCCCCCCCCATGCCATTTATTATTTTGACGTTTCAAAGGATAGAGTCTGTTTTCTGTTATTCCCAACAAGTCACTATATTGCCACTGACGCTTGAACACATCTTCATCTTATTATATTTCCCACATGGCAGAAAACAAGTAGAGCATCCCAGTACAAAACCAGAGCAGGAAAAGGCAACCAGTAAACAGGGAGAAAGAGAAAACTTAGTTTCTAGACGAAATACCAAGAAGCAGAAAGTGGAGTGGTGGTGGAAGGGGAATTTGAATTGCCATGCCATGTCCTCCCTTTCCCACTCATCTTTCCTTGGCATTCCTAGGATGATGGGACAGCATTTCCATTGTGCAATACAATGTATTGGTAGTAATCCTATGTACTGTATGAGGACACTGGATTGTATTGTTTAATAAAATGGCTAGCCCCAACGAAGAGCACGGAGTTGGGAGGTTCTACTCCCCTACACCCTCAAAAATTACTGGGATTGTATCAAATTTTGGGCAGGAGGAAGGAGTGAAGGAAAATGTTCCATTGAGGTCTTCTCCTAAGGCAGTGATTTTTGCCTTGTGGAGTAACACTGAATTAATATGAACATTCAAAGAGATTTGTATAGGAAATTTTGCATGGAAAATACAAGTGTGACCTGCAGCAAAATGTTGCACTGCAGTCTCCTGCTGTTTAGAATTCCAGCCAACCTATTGTTCCCTTTTTCAGGACATGTGGTTTCATTCTACCTTCTTCCGTCTTGATTTTCTTGTCTCCACCTTTTCAGGCAGGCTTTTAACAATCATAACTGAGTCCCTGAATGCGATTTTTTTTAGTTAAAATAGTTTTTAACATTTTACCTGTTTTTAACTATTGAAAGTATTTTAATCATTTATAGCTTAATAGTTTTTAATGTATATCTTACTGTCTTTTTAATTCTGTTCTTTTTAATACAGTGGGCTGCCCTGTGTATCCTTATGAGGAAAAAGGCAGCCTATAAATAAAACAAATAAGCAATAAACAAATAGTATTTTGCCAAACCTCCACTATGGTCACTTTCAAATATGATTATTCTCATTATGCCAGTTCTAGTTCTTCCTACTGATCTATTTGGGATTCTGAATACTGGCCAATGCTAAAGATTATACCACACATATGGCAGCAAACCCTGCTCAAAATCATATGCTCCGTTATTGGTTTTTACAGAACTAAGGGCACTAAAAGAGCTGAGCTAGGTATTATAGAAACCTTATTGTAGGAAGCAGCAACTTGTTAATTATTAAAAGACATCTGATTGTAATTCTACTTTTCTGATTTCCTGGGGCTCGGAAATTAGCTTGTTTTGGTTTATTATTGGGCACTGGAGTTAAACACCAGCTTACTTGTGTTCTAATTGCTTGGATGCCAAGGTGGGAGCTGACTACATGGCTGAAATATGTGCATGCTTTTTTTCTCCCTAACAATGTGCTAATTCTGGCATCTCATTTGACATCAGTACAGACCAGATAGTGAGCCCCACTAGAGTATCTAAGGACAGCTGCTATTCACATCACATGTGGGCTATGGTATGGATGTTGTTGTTTAGTCATGTCCAACTCTTCGTGACCCCATGGACCAGAGCACGCCAGGCCCTCCTGTCTTCCACTGCCTCCCGGAGTTGGGTCAAATTCATGTTGGTAGCTTCGATGACACTGTTCAACTGTCTCATCCTCTTCTCGTCCCCTTCTCCTCCTGTCTTCACATTTTCTTAACATCAGTGTCTTTTCCAGGGAGTCTTCTCTTCTCATGAGATGGCCAAAGCATTAGAGCCTCAGCTTCAGGATCTCTCCTTCCAGTGAGCACTCAGGGTTGATTTCCTTTAGAATTGATAGGTTTGTTCTCTTTGCAGTCCAGGGGACTCTCAAGAGCCTCTTCCAGCAC